TACTGGAGGAAAAAGGTGGTATGAGTGAACGTATGTGTGTGTGTGTGTGTGTGTGTGTGTAAAGTATATATAATATACATATATGTGTGTATATAATGTATATTTAAGCCACTGTATGCCTGCCACTACCTAGCCCTTCCCTAACCCTAACCCTAACCCTAACCCTAACCCTAACCCAGTCTCATACTGTCCTAATGTCCATTCTCTTATCTGTTATAACACTGAGGTCCCTGTCCCACTCTGTCCCAACTGTCTGCTGTTACTGAAAATGCTCCATACATCTCATGGGAAGCTTGTTTTTGCCCCTCAAAATGCACTGTCCACTCAGCTGTTCAACCATCTTCTAGCCTTCTAACATATATATATGTACATATATATATATATATATATATTTCTGAAGGCAGAACCACATCACTTTGTTCCTCAGTCCTTATCATAAGTGCTCACCACACAGTAGTCCCTGATAAACATTTGGTACCTGCATAAACAGGTGACCCAATACATCCACATAAGGTTTTCCTACCAAATCTCAAAGGACATTCCTATGGCCATTCATAGGAAATGGTAAACACTCTACCTGTAGACCCATCAAATGTTATCCCATGTGCCTAGACCTCTGCACATAAGCCAAAAGGGTGAGGTGGCAGAGTAGGATTGGATCACTCGAGGACAGAAGCCACACCATGGAGCAGAACTGAAATCCAGGAAACAAGGATGAGACGGGGGCCTTGGGGATAGGGGAGGTGACTACAAAAGGCAGGTGGGCTAAGGTAACACTGGCAGTGTCAAGAAGAACTCCTTGGTCCACGTACTTGTTTACAAGAAGTGTCTCAAGCAGTTGAAAGACTTTTAGGACACTGCAACAGGGACCTAAATATGGGCTAGGAGAGGAGAATACAAGCAAGGAGAAGACTGTGGAGCTCTACAGACTCACGTTTATGCGGATGGGGTGCGAGCTGAAAGACGCCATGGTGATGGTTCAGATAGGTGTGAAGACAATGGCGACAGTTCAGGTAGGGATAAGGGGTGGAGAAATGAGCATTTCTCTAGCTGGGCCAGAAAGGAAAGGGAGATAATTTCATTTGGGAGCATGTATGTTGTAGTTGAGGTGCCTCTGGGACATCCAGGTAGAGTCCTCTAACAGGAATTAGAAATACAATTCTAGAGATCACCAGAGAATTCCAGTTGGAGACAAAGACTTTGGGGAACCACTGAGTGGAATACAATGGTTGGTACAAAAAAACCCAATATTTTAAACAGAGCCCTATAATGGTATAGAAGATGTAAGGCCCATAGGACCAGAGATGGAGCTCCATGTCCCGTTGGGAACTCACAAAGAAAGGGACTAGACACCTGTGGATCCAAGGTGGCAGAGTAGCGACGTTTGGTTCCTTAGCATCTAGAGGTGTGCCTAGCATTGCACGGACTTAGTCTCACGTTGTCGAATACATCCAGAGTGGAGGCAAGCAACCCAAACGTTAAGGTCTTTAGCAAACAGACGGAATGAAGACAAGGGCAGCATACTGCAACCGGATTTACCTTTACAATTATAACTCAAACATTCCAGAAATCACAGATGTTCAAGTAGCACTGACCCCAACCTAGTGGCACACAGGAGAGGCTATAAATGTCATCTGCCACTGGGTTACTAAGTATCTGGTGCAGAAAGATTATAGCACAAAATCTGAGGAAAGAAAAATGGAGAGATCGCTCTCTCAGGCTGTTTCTTTCAAAGTCTTTATTGACAGCAAAGGGAGCTATGGCCAGGGAAAAGGATGCAAAGGAGTTTCTCTGAAACCTGAAAGGCCCAATCTGGGTAAGACAGGGGCAGAGGCAGGCCTGTGTGCAGGCCAGCTGTGAGAGTAAGATGGGCACAGGCTGGCACAAATGGAATCAAACTCCTAGCCCTGCCAGTTTCCTGGAGTTGCTTGCCTCCACTCTGGACTTATTCAGAGGACCCCTGAGAACGTGAGACTAAGTCCGTGCAATGCTAGGCACACCTGCAGATGCTAAGGAACCAAACTCTTCCCACTCCCCTTTCCAGTTTTAAGAGGCAGAAGATGCACTAGGTCAAAAGATGAAAAGAAGAAAAGTGTGGATGTTAGGAATTCTTCAGGAGCTAATTTTTTTAAAAAAATTATACTTTCAAAAATGAAGATGGATAGGACAGCAAGAAAGCACTGTCTATATGGTGAGATACCATCACATCTCAGACTCAACCACAACCACATCCCAGCCTGGTGCTTGCACCTGCTGTAGCTCTGGAGCTTGCCAGTGGGCAAGAAGTCACTCAGGAGCAGCACCAGCAGGCAGGCAGTCCTGCAAAGTTTCCTTTGTTCTTATTAAAACAATTAAACATCCTTTAAAGGTCAGCAGATGCACCTGTAACCCTACAGGTGAGTGAATGAGTGAAAGGAAAGCCACACCCGAAAACCTGGTGGGCGGGTCCAGACTCTTGTGGAAACAAAAGCACCACTTAAGAACGCAAGCTTGCAAGCTTGTGTTTCTCTTGTGTTGGGATCCTTTTGCCAGCTCTGGGCCCTGAATCAATAAACCTGCGGGGGTTAGCTCACTTGACTGCCAGTGTGCTATATAAGACAGCAGCAAGTGCCTGCCTACTGGAGAGGCTATCGGGGATGGGACACACCTGTCCAGGCCTGTCCCTTTTCAGCCTTTACCCAAGAAAAAGATTCAGGGAGGAAGTGGTGAGATTCACACAGTGCCATTCACAGTGAGTCCAGAGTAGCAGCCCCAAGTAGAATCGCATACCCTAGGAACGGAGGTGAAACATGAAGACAGATGTTCTACTGCTAAGTGTTTGGAGGTTATCTGACTGCTATGTGTGAAGAGTCCTTCATAATTATTTTAATCACAGCTCTGTATGGTGGCTCATGTCTGCAGTCCCAGTACTCTAAGGCAGGAGGATCTCCATGAGTGTGAGGCCAGCTTTGGCTGCAGGGGGACTTCCAGGCCAGCCTGGAGTACGGGATGAAACTGTTTAACAAATCAACCCCTCCCTCCAAATTTGAAAACAAAACAAACACAAGTAGATATTCTGTTGCTTTGTTCAAATGGAAGCATCTGGAAAACACTCCAATTCAAGTGTAAGACATCCCTATTTCTCACTGAGAAGAGAAGAGGAAGGGAGAACATGGGATCTTGCATCTGCAGCAAGCTTTAACAGGAATTCAGGCGGCTACAGGTCCAGTTGAGGAGAAGAAAAGACTTTGGTGAGCAGAGAGAGAGAGAGAGAGAGAGAGAGAGAGAGAGAGAGAGAGAGAGAGAGAGAGAGAGAGAGAGAGAGAGAGAGAGAGAGAGAATTTGCTAAACACAGACCTAAAGCTTTGAAAATGAATGCATAAAAATAATTCAAAATAAGCCAGACTCTATTGCCTGTGCATCAACATTAAAGTAACAACCAAAGAGAAGCTGGACGGAGTACCCTTCCAAAACACATTTTGTTCCAGAGACGACTTAGGTCTGATTTGCAGCTTGGTGTAATTCTGCCTTGGGAATGAGCATTTCGGATGCTGTGCAAGGCATCATGCAGAAGTCACCTGTGTTGGTTCCATTTCTATTATCCCACGTCCATGCCCCACCGCTCACTCCCCACTATGTACCAAAACAACCTATGCAAATTCCTACTCAGGGCAGTTTTTGCAAGGACAGCACTCACAGCAGCACACATCCCCAACAGAACTCCCCCAGCCAGTCGGGGAAGGGCAAATCTAGCTCCATGCTTTTGCACGGTGGTTCGTCACTAAAGGAAGCCAGGCATGCACACCACCATTCCACTCAGATTAGTGAGCCTCTCGGGATTAATAAAGCAAAAACTAAGGCCATACCAAGTGAGGACCTGACCACCTGATACTGACTTCACAAATCATCAGAGATCAATGGGTTCTGGACAGGAAAGACATTAAGAAGTGAGCAAGTTGTAATAATGGCTCCATTTGTTAGAAGACTGGGCTCTGCAGTGAAGGACCTACACTAGTGACTTTATCACTCTACAGCTCTGCTTTTGGAGGGAGGGAGGGAGGGAAGCAGGGAGAGAAGAAGGGAGGGAAGGAGGGAGGGAGGATTATTAGAGGTCGGTGAGATGGCTCAGTGGGTAAGGATGCCTGCATTCAAGGTGCTAGCTTTCAAGGCTCACAGCCTGAACTTAATCACCAGCACCTGAACCAACTCCTGCAAGTTGTCCTCCGACCTCCATCCACACGTTGTGGCAAGTGGATGCATGCATACACAAACACATAATGAATAGGAAAATAAACAAATGTAACGAAAAAAGAGACCTATTATCAACTTCATGGGCACGATGGGCATGCAGTAAAGGCTCAGTAAATGTTAGGTGCTTTTATTATAGGATGAGAAGGGGAAGAAGATTGGAAGTGAACTCCCTTAGATTGGTGGTTTTTGCTTACATGGGGGCCATTGCCAAATCTAAGCTGTGATCACCTAGCAGCTAGGAGGCACTCCATAACTATTTGATAGGTTGTCAGAAATATGCTTTTCAGAATGAGGATGTTTACCATCACCATGGCCATCATCCCTCTCATATGTTCTGTAGTGGACACCACCACCTTGGGAAGAGGCCATACTGTCCACTTGAAGAAAAAAAAAACTGCTGCTAAAAATCGACATTCTATCGGGCTTCTCGTTTGAACACAGTGAGCAACAACTATAATCACCTTAAAGCAGGAACCAATACATCTGCCCCAACATCTTTTCACTGACTTCAGAGACAGTTAAAGCCTTTACTTTAGAAGTGCATGTGAAACAAATGTTCAAAGAACACCCTGACACCCGGATCCCCGCAAAGTCGAACAAGCATCTGTCCCGGTAATACATTATTACCTCTCTGTGTTCTTTCCCACTAAAACATAAGTGCCATCACTGTCAGTAAGCCAGAAAACAAAAACAATCACAGTCGAACGACATGGCACACCAAGGCTCGATGGCCTGTGAGTCTTCAGAACTTCAAGGAAACATTGTGTTACCTTGGCAGAATGCTCCATGGTGACCACCACCTTGGTTTTGGAACTGGATACTAAATCCATAGCCCCTCCCATTCCTTTCACCATCTTCCCCTGTAAAACAGAAACAGAAAATGAGTAGACATGTAACCGTTTCCTTCCATCATAAGAGGAAATAACAGTTAACTTGCCAGAACAAGCCACCATAGGAAAAACTTTCTGACCATCACTACTCAGTACTTGAAGCTTTGGAACCTAAAATTTTGTTATTCTGTTAGCCTGTGGTTGAAGGATAAAGTTCAGAATAATTTCTAAAAGTATATTTATTATTGTTATTAAGATTGTTATTGTTATTATCATGTGTACATGTGTGAATGAGTTGCACTTGCAAGTTAAAGAACAACTCTGTTGAGCTGATTCTCTCCTTCCCACCTTGTCATAGGTTCTCAGGATCAGACTTAGCCCATCAGGCTTGTGCTGCAGATGCTTAACCTGCTAAGCCATCTTGCCATCCCCCAGGATGAATATTACAACTTCACCTAACTACTAAGTGTTACTAATACAATTTTGTTGACAATTTGTTAATAATAAGACAATCAGTGAATAAGAAATTAACATAGGAACCTTTGTAGAATTCTTACAAAAATATTTTATTGAAACCTTGACACCTATGACCTTCATTTCTTTCTTTTAGACAAGTAGTCGTTATCTCTGATTTTTCCATTACAGACACTTTCTAGAGCACATTTGGGTTTCCACAGATTCACAGCAATAGGCTAAGGCATTCTCAAGTATTGACTAAAAACGAAGGTGGTGCTGTCTGCCTGTCTTTCTAGCTTTCATCTTGTGCATGGAAAAGAGAGAACAAAAGGAAACCACATTCCAGACAAGCAAACACAGAGGCTAGAAGCTGCATTCAAAACCACCTTGCCATCACTGATCTGGCTCTACCCACCCCTTCATCTTCATTCATTATTCATTTATCAACCGCCTTTTAGGTGCCATGCACACACCAAGATTCTCCTGGATACAGAGTTTTGGAAAACACAGGTGTTTCCAAAGATGATGAAATGAATCCTCCCACAGCTCAGAGAGGATATGACTTCTAACGCTGACAGACTTTATTGATTTTAAAGCTCAGTCCTCTTCCACATTTGTCAGTAAATATTCTCCAATCATCTCAGAGCCCTAAAGAGATTACGAAGGGCAGGCACCTGGACTTAAAAAAGAACCTCAAGTTCATGAATCCAGAGACATGTTAGAGGTAAACACAGCAAGGTACTGGCAGGAATTAGATGAACAGCATGTAGGAAGGGATGAAGTAGCTGGATGCTTTGTGGCTTAGAGCCCACCACCAAGGAGATGGGAGCAGTTGGCAGCAGTAGAGGAGAGAGGTGTGTGGAGGATGCAGGATCAGTTGTGTTCAGATAGGGAAGTTGGAAACAATGCAAAATATCCATGTAGAAATGTGGAACTCGAGGTGAGAATGGGTCTCGGGCGGGGACCGCCCGCCCATCCCCCATCCCCCTTGATCTTCGGGGCCCGCTCCTGGCATCCAGAAGACCCGCCCACACAGGAAAGACATCAGCCCCTCCAAGACCCCAACCCCAGCGAGTCCAGCTTCAGGAAAGACATCAGCCCTTCCAAGACCCCAACCCCAGCGAGTCCAGCTTCAGGAAAGACATCAGCCCTTCCAAGACCCCATCCCCAGCAAGTCCAGCTTCAGGAAAGACATCAGCCCTTCCAAGACCCAAACCCCAGTGAGTACAGCTTCAGGGGACCTGCCCACACAGCAAAGAAGTCAACAATTCCAAGACCCCAACCCCAGCGCGTTCAGCTTCAGGAAAGACATCATTCCTACTAGGACCCAAACTCTGTGTCAGCATCCCCAGCTTCAGCTGCAGGAAGGAAGGAGACCAGTGGAGATGGAAAGACCCCACCAGCACCCACTGAAAGAAGAGATGGGAAGAAGACAGAATAAGAGATCACTCAGCAATAGAAACACCAACATGACCCCACCAGAATCCAGGGATCCAACACCAGCAAGACCCGAAAAGCACTACATAGACGAAGAAGAGGAGACAGACCTTAAAAATTATTTCATGAAGATGATGGAGACCCTCAAAGAAGAAACGAGGAAATCCCTTAAAGAAATAGAAGAAAAAACAAACAAAAAAATCCATGACATGGGGGAAAAATTCAAGAAATAAACAAATCTCTCAAAGAATCTAAAGAGCACCAAGAAAGAACAACCAAAAAAATTAAGGAAACAACTCAAACAGTTGAAGGATTGAAAGCTGAAATAGAAACGATAAAGAAAACATAAAATGAAGGGATGCTGGAAATAGAAAAGCTGGGTAAACGATCAGGAACTACAGATGCAAGTATCACCAATAGAATACAAGAGATAGAAGAGAGAATCTCAGGTGTTGAAGACTCATTAGAGGATATAGAGTCGTCAACCAAAGAAAATCTCAAAACCAACAAATCCTTAACACAAAATATCCAGGAAATATGGGACACAGTGAAGAAGCCAAACCTGAGAATAATAGGTATAGAAGAAGGTGAAGAAATTCAACTTAAAGGTACAGAAAACATATTCAACAAAATCATAGAAGAAAACTTCCCTAACCTAAAGAAAGATATGCCTATGAAAGTACAAGAATCTTACAGAACACCAAATAGGCTCGACCAGAAAAAGAAGTCACCTCGCCATATAATAATCAAAACATCAAACCTACAGAGTAAAGAGAAAATATTAAGAACAGCTAAAGAAAAAGGCCAAGTAACATACAAAGGCAGACCTATCCGAATTATACCTGACTTCTCAATGGAAACGATGAAAGCCAGAAGATCTTGGACAGATGTCCTACAAACGCTAAGGGAACAAGGATGCCAGCCCAGACTACTATATCCAGCAAAGCTCTCAATTACCATAGATGGAGAAAACAAAATATTCCATGACAAAGCCAGATTTAAACAATATGTATCCATGAATCCAGCTCTACAGAAAATGCTAGAAGGAAAACCTAGAGCCAAGGAAGATAACTACATTCACAAAGACACGGGCAATATATAATCCCACTTTACAAAACACCAAAAGAAAAAGGGAGGAGAAAATACACAAAATAACTTCACTAACAATAAATCAAGCACAAACAAGGATCACTAAACAATGGTCGTTAATATCCCTCAATGTCAACGGCCTCAACTTGTCTATAAAAAGACACAGACTAGCAGAATGGATACGAAGACAGAACCCTTCTTTCTGCTGCATACAAGAAACACATCTCAACAGCAAAGACAGACGTTATCTCAGAGTAAAGGGTTGGGAAAAGATCTTCCAATCAAACGGTCCCAAGAAACAAGCGGGTGTAGCAATCCTAATATCTAACAAATTAGACTTCAAATTAAAATCAATCAAAAGAGATGAAGAAGGACACTTCATATTCATCAAAGGAAAAATACATCAAGACAAAGTCTCAATTTTAAACATCTACATCCCAAATACAAAGGCACCTACATTCGTGAAAGAAACATTACCAAAGCTCAAAAAGCACATAAAATCTCACACACTAATAGTAGGAGACTTCAACACTCCGCTCTCACCACTAGACAGGACCTCCAGACAGAAACTTAACAAAGAAACAAAAGAACTAATAGAAGTTATGACCCAACTGGGTTTAACAGACATCTATAGAACATTCCACCCAAATACAAAGGGATATACCTTCTTCTCGGCACCACATGGAACCTTCTCTAAAATTGACCACATAATAGGAAACATAGCAAATCTCCACAGATACAAAAAATTGGAATAACCCCCTGCATCTTATCAGACCACCATGCATTAACATTAGAATTCAACAATAACACAAATCGCAGAAACCCTACAAACTCATGGAGATTGAACAATGCACAATTGCACCATCCCTGGGTAAAGGAACAAATAGAAAAAGAAATTAAAGACTTCCTTGATTTCAATGAGAATGAAGACACAACATACACAAACTTATGGGACACTCTGAAAGCAGTGCTGAGAGGAAAGTTTATAGCACTAAGTGCCCACATGAAAAAACTGGAGAACAGTCATACTAGAGAATTAATAGCACAGCTGAATGTTCTAGAACAAAAAGAAGCAAACTCCCTCAGGAGGAGCAGACGCCAGGAAATAATCAAACTGAGGGCTGAAATCAATCAAGTAGAAACCAGAAAAACACTGAGAAGAATCAATGAAACAAAGAGTTGGTTCTTTGAGACAATCAACAAAATAGATAAACCTCTGACCAAACTAACCAAAAGACAGAGGGAGAGCATGCTAATTAACAAAATCAGGGATGAAAAGGGGGACATAACAACAGACTCTGAGGAAATCCAGAGAATCATCAGGGCATACTTTGAAAATCTGTGCTCCACAAAATTTGAAAATTTAAAGGAAATGGACAATTTCCTGGATAGATATCACTTGCCAAAACTAAATCAAGAACAGATAAACAATCTAAACAGACCTATAACCCCTAATGAAATAGAAGCAGTCATCAAAAGTCTCCCAAATAAAAAAAGCCCAGGCCCAGATGGCTTCAGTGCAGAATTCTACCAGAAATTCAAAGAGGAGCTAATTCCAATACTTCTCAAAGTATTCCACACAATAGAAGCAGGAGGCCCACTGCCAAACTCTTTCTACGAGGCTACAATTACCTTGATACCCAAGCCACACAAAGACACAACTAAGAAAGAGAACTATAGACCAATTTCCCTCATGAATATTGATGCAAAAATACTCAATAAAATACTCGCAAACCGGATTCAAGAACACATCAGAAAAATCATCCACCATGATCAAGTAGGCTTCATCCCAGGAATGCAGGGATGGTTCAACATTAGAAAATCTATCAATGTAATCCACCATATTAACAATCTGCGAAAGAAAAACCACATGATCATCTCACTAGATGCTGAAAAAGCCTTTGACAAAATCCAGCACCCCTTTATGATAAAGGTCCTAGAGAGATCAGGGATAACAGGAATGTACCTGAATATAATAAAAGCAATATACAGTAAACCAACAGCTAACATCAAACTAAATGGAGAGAAACTCAAAGCAATTCCTCTAA